TCTTCTTCTTCTTCTTCTTCTTCTTCTTCTTCTTCTTCTTCTTCTTCCTCCTCCTCCTCCTCCTCCTCCTCCTCTTCTTCTTCTTCTCTTCTCCTCCCCCACCTCCTCCTTTTTCTCCTCCACTTCATCCTTCTCCTCTTTCTCCTCCTCCTTTTTTCAAGACAGGGTTTCTCTGTGCAGCCCTGACTGTCCTGGAACTCACTCTGTAGACCAGGCTGGCCTCGAACTCAGAGATCTGCCTGCTCTTGCCACCCAAGTGCTGGGATTGAAGGCATGTGCCATCACTGCCCCTTTTTTAATTTTTTTAAATAAAGATTTATTTTATTGTTAGTTATAAGTGTGTCTGTTCATTCATATATGTGAATGTAGATGCCCATGGTGTGGGGGTCGGGGGCAGAAGGGCCAGGTCTCCGTGGAACTAGAGTTACAGGAGTTTGTGGGTTGCCCATTGTGAGTACTGGGAATTGAACTTGGGTTTTCTGCAAGAAGAGTATGTGCTCTTAACCACTAGCCATCCCCATGCCTTTAGTTTTCTACAGTACAACAGCCAGCAGTGCACTAGCCAGAATTTAGAAATGAGGAATAAGCATAAGGCTTGCTTATTCTCTTCAGGCTGAGGTAACAAGATTACCATGCGCAGGGTGGTTCATGAGCGTGAAGGTTTGGTTTCACACAATTCTAGAAGCAAGGAGCCCAAGATCACAGTTTTGGTAGGTTTGGCGTCCGGTGAAGGTCTGTTTCTCATAGCTGGGATATTTTCACTGTGTCTTTAATATGACAGAGAAAACAGGAGAATGCTCATGTCTCTTTGGTTAGGCCACTCTTCATGTGGCGCCCACTCTCCTAATGGCAACACTCTGGGAATTAGGGTTTTAACAAATGAATTCGGGGAGACACGAACATTCAGGCCATGGCGGCTAGCCATGACCCACTTTATGGAGCAGAGCATGTTCAGCACTGCGGGAGTCCCTCTGGCCCCTGAACTCCCATCACCCAGCCATCTTGGCTGTCATGGTAACTACGTTTCCTTCATATTCATGCTACTTGTGTGTGCATCCTAGAACATCATGGCTTAGCCCTCCTGGTTCTTGGAGCCTGTGGACATGCATATTGTATCGCACTGTTTTTCTCGTGTCACCTTTGTGAGAGTCACCCATGTTATGTGTGGTGGCAGGTCTTCCTTTGACTTGCTTTATGATAGGAATATTTTACATGCGATGTGTTGGTTGTGTGATATTTGGTTTATTTTCAGTGTGTGTGAGGTCTACCAGGATGGTTACATACACCACGAGTTTCTTTCGAGAGTCTAAATCTGGCCTTACCTGCCTGGGGCAGGGAGTGTTTCCCTTCAGTTCTACCAGGCAGTGACAAGCTGCATTTCAAAGCTGGTCCTACTCTTTCTAGTCTTCCGATGCTGGGAGTTGCCAGCACTTTTTTCTTGACCAACATGTGACATTAAGTGTTTGCCTTCTGACTGCTATGTGGTGGAGTTTCACTGTCATTTTAACCTATCTTTCTCCCTTGGATGTAGGGCCAATCTAAATTGTATCTACCTTTCTCATGAATTGTTTGTTTTTATATTATTGCTTTGTAAAAGCCTTTTTTTTTTTTTTAAATTGTATCTTCTGGATTTGAATCCTTTGTCAATGCGTGTTGAAAATAGTATATTGTCAAACCAGACACTGAATATTTATGGATTGGAGTAATTTTTATTCTTTACCTTAACACTGATGAGCAAATAGAAGATGAACAAAGAGAAGAGTGACAATAACAGTCGATGCTTAGTACAAGTTAACCCTCTCTTTCTGCTCTTCCCAGGTGTCATCATTGTCCCCAGCGCTGGGGTTGGCATTGTGCTGGGAGGCTACATTATAAAGAAACTGAAGCTTGGTGCGAGAGAATCTGCAAAGCTGGCAATGATCTGCAGCGGGGTGTCTCTGCTTTGCTTCTCCACCCTGTTCATTGTTGGATGCGAAAGCATCAATCTGGGAGGTATAAACATCCCTTACACAACGGGGTAAGTGCCCCTCAGGAGGTCGCCCTGCACTAGCAGGACTGAGGTGCCCAGCTCAGTGGGGTTCCACACCTGGGCCAGACTCTGCCTCTCCCTCCCTCCTGCTTCATGAGCTCAGTCTCTGCAACCGGAGCCCGTGCTCCTAGAGGGGGGAGGGCCACCAGGTCTCATCTCTGTCTGTGTCCTTTTTGAGCCTCACAGAGTGACTTTCATGGCATTTTAATGACCAGAGATGAGGAGATGGTTAGGGCCTTAATTAAAGTGTCCTTAGGGTACTTAGTGGGTGGGGAGGTAGCTTGGTCAGCACACCAGGAACCAGGCTGGATCCCTAGAACCCATGTAAAGATGCCAGGTGTGCTGGGCCACACTTGGGATCCCTGGGCAGGGGCAGTGGATGTGAGCAGATGCCCGTGTCTGGGCAGCACGCCTAGTCTAATCCCTGGGCCTCACGCTAACGAGTGACCATTTCAGAGATCAAGAGGAGAAGTCCCTGAAACAGTACCTGAGCCTGTGCGCACACATGCCTCTGTACATACATGCACTCCCATGAACACGTACCCCAACCAAAACCCATCAGATTTACAAACTACAACCCTCTGTGGAAAGCCTTGCTTTCACTTGAGTCCTGTGTCCACCTACTTCTTCCCACTTTTCCAAACTAAACTGGATAACATTTTTTTTTCTTTTCTTCTATTTAATGGCTTTTTAGAGTATGCATTTTCAACGTTTTCCCTCCCCCAATTCCTCCCAGATCCTCCCCACCTTCCTATATACCCAACTTCATGTTCTCTCCCTCTTAAAAAAAAATCAAAAGAAACAACAAACAAACAGTAAGACAAAAATCCCGGAACCAAACAACAATCTCATAAAACCCAAAGACCACGAGGTCTGGTTTACATTGTCCCGATACTCCTGAGCATGAGGCCTGCCCTGGACTGTGGTTATATACTTGGTGAGATTTCAAAGAGTAAACTGATTTTTCCTTTTCCCAACAGGGAGCAATTGCAAACAGATTCTTGATTAGGGATGGGGCTCTGTGTCCACTTCCTCTTTTAGGTGCTGGGATTTCATCTGTGTGAACCTGTGCAGGTTTTGTTCAGGCCATAAGTCTCTGTGAGTTCATATGTGTATCAGCCCTGTTGTGTTTGAGAAGATGCCAATTACTTGGCATCATCCATCAACTTCCAACTCTTAAAATCTTCCTGCCTCCTTTTCTACATAGATCCCTGAGCCTTGAGGGCAGGGTTGGATGAAGACATCTCATTCAGGACTGAGTTCTCCAAAGTCTCCCACTCTCTGCACATTGCTAACGTGCTCTTCAGATCTCCAGCTGCATTCAACCTTGTTGACTGTAACATACATCTCTCTTTCTCTCTCTCCGTCTGGTTCCACATCCAGCCTGCAGCTTTCCTTGGCGCGGATCCCACAACTCTGTTATCTCCAACATCTCGGGATCTTCAATATAATCTAGGCTTCACCTTAATGGAATGGCCTCTCTGGGCCTCCGTGCAGGGACACCCCTAACGCATTCTGGTTTCAGCAGCTTTTCTTAGCCATGGAGGGAGATTGCACAACCCCTGTCACGTGTCATTTACTCTAAAGCCAGAACCACATGGCTGAAGCTAGCAAGTTATGCTGCTTGATGGGGCTGGAATTTGGCGTCCTTGTTCAATTATATTTCTATCAGTTTTCTATTACTGATGGTTTTCTTCACCACTTGAACTTTTCTTTAATCCCTTTTCACGTTGAAAGCTTAGATGGTGGGACCTTGCTCTGAAGTCACCACTCCCTTTATTTTGTTTAGTATCAAGATTTTCTTTAAAGTTTTTATTTCCTTTGATTCTTGCATCTTTGTCTTCCACATTATACTTCCTGGTGCTCTTTTCTCCTCAAACTGTACATTTTGCATTTTTCCTTGCTAAGCTTGTTCCTTTTCATTATAGATCTGCATAAGAGCAGCCACTAATAGCTGCAGGACAGAGTCAGTACTAGGCTGTCTTCAAATCTCTGCCAATTCCATCAATCTGAAGCTCTTTAGTTTAGCCTCAGACAGATTTTTTTTTTTTTTTTGCACAAGGGCAAAAAGCAGCCACATTTCCTCCCAAAATATCACAAGAACTGTCTAAAGGCCACTTATTAATAATCTTCCCCCTTGAGCTGGGCCATCATAATCTACACTGCTTTCAGCACCATGATCTTCCTTGCTCTTCCTACGATGGCCCAGAAAATCCTGCTTAAAGTGTTCAACTGCTTTTTTTAGTCTAAAGTCCCAAAGTCTTCCATATTCCTACAACAAATAGCATGGTGAGGCCTGTCATAACAATACCTGGGTCAACGGTACCAACTTTTGTCTCAGTTACTGTTCTATTGCTGAAGAGATACCACGACCAAGCGACTATTATAAGAGAAAGTATTTAATTGGAGGGTTGCTTATAGTTTCAAAGTTTTAGTCCATTATCATCATAGTGGCAACATGCAGACACACATGGGAGCAGCAGCTGAGAACTACATCCTGATCCATAAGCAGATATACAGAGAGACTGAGCTTGACTTGGGCTCTTGAAACCTTAAAGCCCACCCCGAGTGACACACTTCCTCCAACAAGGCCACACCTCTTAATCCTTCTGATCCTTTCAAATAGTGCCACTCCCTGGTAACTAAGCATTCAAATAAATGAGCTCATGGAGCCATTCTTATTCAAACCTCTACAGCCTCTTCATTTTCCCTGTGATCCCTAACTTACTTGTAATTCTTCTGTTAGAACTTACAGAATGGGCTTCTCTGTGTTAACTTATTCTGTCATATTTCATAGGCCTGTACTTTTGTTCTGAGAGCTTTTCCCAAAAGTCTTGTTCTCAATTCTCCATATAATTTTTTAAATTTTTGTTAATAATTTTTTCTTGTTGAACTATGATTGCCTCTTTGTCTTAGTGTCCTGGTGTTTTAGAAAGTAAGGTCTCCTTAGATCTCTTTGTACTTACAATTAGAATTAGAATTAGAATTTCTGTGATTTTCATCTTATCATTTGGTATTGAAGGGGTTTTTTTTTTGTTTGTTTTGTTTTTGTTTTTCCTATTTACTTACAACGATCTGTCCAAACTGACTGCACTCAGGCTGGCATCTCTCAGGATATGCCTGTTTTCTGCGCCATCCTCAGCAAAAGGACAAAAAGGTTAGTCTGGGTAGTCAACATCAAGAGTAAAAATTTTGTTTTTCAAATTCCTTATAGTTTTTCTCAGAGCTTTCTGGTGATTATGGGTTCTGAATTAGAGCTAGTGGTAAGAATACAGATGAGAGTGGAGGGGCCCACTTATAGCTTATCTCCCTGGGTCCCTGGTCGTCCATTGTGTTCCCTTTCACAGATCATTTTTGCTCCCAGTATGTCTGATGACTTTGAGCTTAAAGTCTTGCAGAAATTCCTTTAGACAGGCTGGCTTTTGATCTGCCAAGGCAGCGTCTTTGATAATAAACTTATGGCTGTCTGCTTGCGACTGTCATGAAGCGGGCTGTTACTTTTTCTATTTCTTCAATACTACATGGCTTTATTATTATTTTTACCTCTGGTCTGCTCTTATTTTTAGAAGGTCTGGAAGCCAGACTCTGTACCTTACCTGCCTTGTAACTACAGGTCCCCTCAGGTCTTCTAAAGCCTTTGCTTAATGCCAACCCTGAATCAAGCGCTTCTAGTTCCCAACCATTGCCAGGAGAAATTATGTAATTGCGCTGATTGGCTCCATAATAAATTTATGAGTTCCAACCTTAGCAAGCCCTCATCTTTGCTGAATAATCAATTTTCTTAGTCACAGTCTTCTTCTTTCCCCAAAACTCATAATGGATGGTTCCTCTTTTTGCCTTTTAATCCCTTTTCTCAAGTCTTTTTTTTATTTTTATTTTTTATTTTTTGAATTTTATTTTTTTCTTATCAGTTACATTTTATTAACTCTGTATCCCAGCCATGTCCCCATCCCTCATTCCCTCCCAGTCCCTCCCTCCCTCCCTCATCTCCACCGTGCCCCTTGCCAAGTCCACTAATAGGGGGGACCTCCTCCCCATTCATCTGATCCTGTTTTGTCAGGTATCTTCAGGACTGGCTGCAAAGCCCTCCTCCGTGGCCTAACAGGACTGCTCCTCCCTTGGGGGGTGGGGAGGCCAAAGAGCCAGTCATTGAGTTCCTGTTAGAAACAGTCCTTGTTCCCCTCACTATGGGAAACCAATTTGTTACTGAGCTACCACAGGCTACATCTGAGCAGAAATTCTAGGTTACATTCATACATGGTCCTTGGTTGCATGTCAGTCTCAGAAAAGACCCTGTGCCCAGATATATTTGGTCCTTGTGGAGCTCCTATCCTTTCCTCATCAGACTAACTCCCCTTTTTTCTTATGATTCCCTGTACTCTGCCAAAGGTTTGGTCATGAGTCTTTGCTTTGAAAACACTGCTAGTTAGAGTCTTTCAAATGCGCTCAGTAGAATCCTGTCATATGTTCTCAAGTCTTTTTAATTGTATCTTAGTTTTGTTTCTCTTAGTGGGCAACCAGCTCTGTGTTAGTGAGAAAATGAAGTTTCTACCCACCCCTTTTCCACCTGAACTATCTTTTCTAAAACAATTATTATTCTCAAAGGCAAGTATTTGCTTCATTGTTTTCTAGGTGTTTGATAGCCTCCACCACGCACACACAAATCATCTACTATTGTTTTGTCTTGGCTTCCTCCCCTGTGAAACTGGTGAAACTGTCCATCAGCATGTTGGAAAATTAAAATAACACAAAGGGGAGAAAGTGAGATATCACCTCTCCCCATTTACAGCCACCAGCTTAGAGCACTCAGCTATTGTTAAACAAATGTTAATTGTTTCATTATGAAGCTTATTTAAGACTGTGTGTGTGTGTGTGTGTGTGTGTGTTTGCCTCTGTTCTCTTTCCTTGAGATCATGCCAACCAACTCCATTTATTCTTCCCAAATGCAGTGACTGCTAGGCCTCTGCCTGAGCATAGGAATGTTACTCAGTGTTGCGGAACCTCATTGGAACTCCATATAAATACGCATCTTAGAGCCAGGAGGTGGTGTCACATGACCTCAATCCAGTGCTGGAGAGGCAGAGGCAGCTGGATCTCTGAGTTTGAGGCCAGCCTGGTCTTCAGAGGGAGTTTCAGGACAACCAGGGCTACACAGAGAAACCCTGTCTTGAGAAACAAAATAAAGCAAACAAACAGATGCATCTCTGTTTTCTCAAGATGTCCCAGTTGCTAAACCAAGATGGAAATATCCCTGTTACACGGTTGTCCTGTTCAGTTGTCATGGCCACAAACAGAAACTTGTCCTTTTGTAGACATTTGCTAGCTCAAGAAGTCAACTCTGGAAAAAGTTTCACTCAATCACTGATGTCACAAGAAGTTCACAGTGTTTGTGGATTTGAAGCGACAATTAAATGTGGACCTTTCTTATTTTAATACTTTGGATTTCCGGAAGTTCAGTGCCAAGGGAAGCTGTGTTAGAGTGTTCTTTAGGAAGTAGACTCATGCTTAAAGACACACACCTGTGGACAGTTACATAGAGCTGACCTGCTAGGAGGGGTGAAGTGGGACACAGTGGAGATAAAACTGGACTTAACTCTATTCCTGACTCTTATTAGCTGTGTGACCTTCTCAAAGCTTCAAGTTTTCTAGAGTAAAAGACAATAGTAAGGACAGTTCTCATGAGGAACAGAGGAGTAACTTATACAGACCTTTCATTGCAAACACATGGAGAAAAGCAAAACTCTGCTAGTGTTGATTTAAACGATGAGATGACAGTCAAGACTTTTCAACCAGAAGCTGTATAACTTTACATAACCAAAGATGGATTTTCCTGTGAGGCCAAAAAACAAAGTGGAATTGAAGGAAATATTCTAATTGAAGTTTTCTTGAGGACTAAGACAAATGGAAAAGATGACACAGATAGATAGGTAGATAGATAGATAGATAGATAGATAGATAGATAAATAGACAGACAGACAGACATATAGATAGGTGATAGAGACAGAGAAAACATTTTTTCTGCTTCAGAGAATTTTTTCTGTTAATTATATTCCTCAAGTTCATGTGATTTGAGTACAGTTTACGTGGATTCCCACTTTTATTCTAATTTGGATAAACTTTAGCTAAAAGAAGGCTTAGGTTCTTTTTCTTGAATTACAGAGACCATGAGGTGCTGTAGAGAGCAAGGCCTAGCAGTCTTCAGCTCTTGAGCTAGGCTGCTAAGACACAAGTGCTGGTATGAGTGCGATGGTTGAGCCTAACTGGGTTCTTGTGCCCACCTGTGGCAGAGATTTGTTGTTAATTCATACTGCACAACAGTCTGCTTTGTTATTATATGTCACTATAAATAAATATTGTTTCTTAGCCATTGGTTTACAAAGATTAGCCAGTGTGGTTACTCCTTATTTCATTTATATTTATATTTATTTTGTTATTGACTCTTTAGGCCTGGTTTTCCCAAGGACACTCTTGGTAATCTCCAGGCAATCATTATTTGTCACATCGTTTCCTACTCTTTAAAGATAGCTTGGAGATGTCTTCCATTTTTTTCTAGCTCACGCTAGGAGTTTGGAGCATCCACTGGTAAAATATTTAATAGCTAGTTCCTGTGCATCACCTGAAATCAACCTGCACCAACTCAGTGGACACAGAGACAGTGAACATCTAATCCCAGTACTGGGGAGGATGGGACAGGAGGATCAGAGTTCAGGGTGTCATCTCCATAGTGAGTGCAAGGCCAGGACTACAAGAGACACAGTCGCAAAAACAACAAAACGAGATTCACCCAGACTGGCTCATTAGTTAACAGGAGCAGCTAGATAGTTCAGAAGTCTGCCTCATCTGGAACCTTCCATTTTGAAAGAGGATGGCTGGTCTCTTTGTGCCTATAAGCACAACTTTCCCTGCATAGTTCTTGTACCTCTTCTGTTCCCATCTTGGCTTTGCTCCTGACAGATGAGGGATTTCTTAGTGCTTTGAGATCAGCCCTTGCGCTATTGTGAGAATCCAGTGTTGGGGAATGGCCACACTAGGCTGAAGATGCCCCATTCTATCTCATCCTAGAAGTGAAGTGGGGTGGGGCCTTGCAGGAGAGTAACATGAGATACTATCTATCTATCTATCTATCTATCTATCTATCTATCTATCTATCTAACATGAGATACTCTCTATCATGAGAATTCCCAGTAGGGTAACGACAATCACAACACACAAGACGTTCTTAAAAATTATTCCTCTTTATTTCTGTTTCATCGTTTCTCTCTTTTTACCATACAGGTCCTTTGGGTATATATTGTGGCTTCCAGTTTAGAGAGGGGGTGGGTCCTGATGGGAGGGGAGGTAGGGAGGAACTGGGAGGAATAGAAGGAGAGGAAACCATAATCAGGATATATTATATGAGAAAAAAAATCAATTTTCAATAAGGAAAAGAAAAAAAGATTTTTTTTTTCTTGTAAATCAGCCCAGCGCAGAGCATGAGGCTTGCTGGCAGCCTTCTCTTTTATTCCATGCTGACCTTCCTCTTAATGACTCTTTTACAAGTACCTACTTTTGTTCATGATAATTCTATGTGTTGCCTTCACTTCATCACGTTTTCATTTTTAAAAGTATTACTGTCGCTGCGGCTGCTTCTATTACTGTTGTTATTATATTGAGACAGGATTTCACTATGTAGTCCTGGCTGTCCTGGAAATTGTTATGTAGACCAGATTGGCGTTGGACTCACTGCTCCTGTCTCCTGAGTACAAGGATTTAAAATATTTATTTTCAATGTGTGTGTTTATATGGGTTCATGTCACATGTGTGGGGTGCCTGCAGAGGCCAGAGGCTTAGAATTTTTACTATTATAATATTTCTCTGAAATAGAGACCAGGAGAAAAACCAGACCTAACCAACAAGACAGACGGGAGAGGAAAGCGCTTGTGTATGTACTTAAAACATTCTCTGATGTTGGCTTAAGGTTCTTCCTCGTGAGTGGACAGTCTCACAGGTGACAGGCATTTGTGATGTGTGGCCGTTACACATGAAGGCAGAGTAGGCTGCCAGAAGGGAAATGCCAAGCCACTTCTAAATAGCAGCAATGACAGCTGTCGGTCTGATATTAAAGCCTGTTGTTTTAAGTGACTGAGCCCACAGGCTGATAAAAGCCCCTCTGTCTTGTCGTGGCTCGCAGTTTAGGCCTTGAAGTGTCGGCGAGGCAAATCTGTATCATGCTGCATGCTTCCGCCTGTCTTTAGTTAACATGGCACCGGCCTTCTACACTCCCCACCCCCATCCTCTGTCTCATTTGCTTATTGGTTATCAAACGTGAGGAACCTTAGAATGAGCGGCATGCATGCCAAGTCTGTGGAGCAGTACATGCATTGAGGGTGGGCCGTGCTACTGGCTAAGTTGTGCTAACATAGTCACTGGAGCTCAGTCCTGACACATCAGGCATTCCCAAATTATTTGTTGAGTGGATGGACGGCGGATGAAGGGACAGATGCACAGACAGATGTTTACTCTTGCTGACCTATTTAGCTTTAGGAACAGTGTTGCAAAAGAACGGCGACAAAGTGATGAGAGTAACAGTCTTGGTTCTGGCCACCCCCATTCTGCTGTGGCCCCCTGGAGCCTGCCTGCCCCTTCCTTACTGCGGTTTCACAGCCTCTCCCCATCTTTGAGCCTTTCCATATCATTTTTCTCTTTTTTACTCAGGGTCTGAATGGCTTTTCCTTGAGGGAATTCTCTTGAGCTTTCATATTGCATTAATTCCTTGTGACTTCATAAGGAAACAAAGCCTGCCTGTTTGACTGTGCATTGCATTTGGGCATTTCTAGTGATTTCTGCTTAATCTTTGTTTGTTTATTTCTGTCAAATTGGTGACAGGTAGCCTAACCAGCCACCTTTTCAAGTCACTTCGTTTTACTTTTATTTTTTGGAATTATTATATTTATTTGATAGGTTATTCTAGAACAATTCAAGTCTTTGATGAATGGAACTTATGCTGGTAACTGTGGGCTGATGAGTGGATTTTGTGTCTATGTGTTCCCAATGATTTTAAAGACTTTGTAATACAATGTATTTTCTCTATTTTATTATTATTAAAAAAAAAAAACCCTTAATGTTTGAGATGAACGATATGGTAATTAATCTGAGTGGACCATTATGCAATGTATATGAATATTGAAATAGCACGCATATCCCCATAAAGTTGTAGAAGTACTATATATAAATTAGAAATAAACTAAGGTGGGGTATGTAGCTCAGTGTTAGAGTTCATGTTTTGTTCATGCTCTGCTAGGTTTAATCTCCAGTGGGCCCTAAAATAAAATCAAGTGAAGTAAATCATGACCTAGACTTGTTAAGACTTGGAGCTGGATGTTTCCCTAGCAAGGGTTCCCTGAGGGTTCAAGCCAATGGATTTAGACATGAGGTCAGTCTGTAGAATCAACGTGGACACCGAGGGTGAGGCAGCAGACATTGTTTGATCTTAAATCAATCTCATCTGTTCTAATGAAAACAGAAACATTTTTTTTACGCTTTGTTGTAAATTTATGGAAATAACAATAGAAGATGGCTACTTTGTGGTATAAGTTTAATTCATGGAAATACTGTCTGTAAAATGGACAGTTCACTTACTGTTGTGAATGTTTTATTCTCAGCCTTGCTTGATCTCTCTCTCTCTCCCTCTCACCCTCCTCTCTCTCAGACCTTCTCTGACCATGCCCCATAGGAATCTGACAGGAAGCTGCAATGTTAATTGTGGTTGTAAAATACATGAATACGAGCCAGTCTGTGGATCGGATGGAATCACATACTTCAACCCGTGCCTGGCTGGCTGTGTTAACAGCGGTAATCTTACCACCGGGGTGAGTAGAAGCTGTAAGTCCCTCTTTTAGTGTAAATCTGGCATCATGACACAAGTGATGGGACCCGCCACCCCACTTTGCCGCACGCACCCGTGATGACTTCACTTTCCCTCATTCACGAGGTTCCAAATAGACATCCAAGGACCTCTGGGAAAACAACCCACGAGAGGCAAATCATGTGGGCCTCTCACTTTGTCAGGGATGCTGGGAGGATCTGGGTGTAGAGTTCTGGTCCTCATCAGCCGGCTCCTACTTTACGGTCCATGCCAACTCAGAGAAACTTGATAAGCTCGAATTCCAGGCTTCCCATTTGTTCCTCTCTTTGTAATGGATTTGAAGGTCAAGGTGACCACAGTTGGTGCTGAAAGAAAAGAGACTGGAGACGGTGGAGGCTGGTTCTCTAAGTGGTGTCTGTGGAGATCGGTGATGCCCATTTTTCATAAGACTATCCTTCAGCTCACCACCCACCCCTTAACTTTCAGAGTAAAGATATTTCTGTCAGCTGAAGAATAGTCTATTTTGAGAATTCTCTTCCCTGTGAATTATAAATAGGCTTTAATACTGTGGGAGAAGGTTTTAATATTCTACTCTATTCTTTACTGAGCTCAATTTGGCTGTTGGCGTGAGAACAGATAGGAGGCGATTGCCCCAATTTAAAGGTTAAAACGCATTTGCTTCTTCTGTGCGATTCTAGAGACTGTAGCATTGATCTAGAGTTCAGGGGTGCTACTTTTGTTTTCTGAGTTTGGAACTAGAGGGCGGATTGGAAATTACTATTGCTGGTTCCCTATGACACAGCTGGTAAGCTCCTGTGTGTGACCCTACTGAGGTCAGGAGATTTGTTTCTTTGATGCAAGGCAGTAAGTGAGGACTCTTAGATACAGTATTTCATCATAAAGACTAGAAGTCCTTCCTGTCTAAATGGCCAACCTCTTCTTAAGACTGTCTTAAGCAGTCACCATGAAAACTAGTTCAACCAATTTCCACTTGGTAAAAAGTAACATAATAGGCAAAAAATTAATTGGCAGTTAAGTATTTATTAGGGTTTTTTGGCATTAGGTCAGTAACATCAACGGGAGTTTTGATTTCATCATGTGTTTGTGTTCGGTAAAAGTTTGGGGAGTTACTGGAGAAGATTTGGTGTCCTTTGCGCCTCTGTCTTCAGTGCCCTCTAAGGGCATGCCGTACATAAGTAGACATCTGTTGGGAAAAACAAACAAGTGATGTTAGGCATAGCAGGTGTTTTGGACAGCTGGAGTCTGTCCGAGTCCAGAGCACTGGGCCGAGGTTACAGTTCAGACTGAAAGTGATGAACATTCCATTCACCCACATGGATGTCCCCCCGGCCTGTTGAAGGGACTGAAAGGGATTGAAACTGGAATAGCTAATGGGAAGTTCATCATCATTGGTACCAAAGCCATCATCCCTAGGCCATAAAACTTTGAATGTTTTGAATGTTTTGAAGCCAGCATGCTTTGGTTAGGACTTTAGAAGTTTGTTTTAGGACTCATGTGTGCTAGGGCACTCTGGTGAGCGCAGATAAAGCACAATCTGGCTTCTGCTTTTTTAACTGGAGAGTCTACAACTGAAGCCGTGTGTGTTTATGACAGCAAATGGGCACCTGGTGTGTAAATGGCACAGGACTGCGAGTTTGAAGCTTCTTAGGAAGTTTAGGCTTTAACAGCCTGACTAGCAGGTTTTGATAGTATTAAGACAAACACTGCCACTATACTGCTGTCATTAAGTAACAAACTGTGAAATAGTTTGCATTCTTTAAAATTCTATAGTTATTTCTGAGCATTTTTATTTAACTTCGACAATATCCCAATGCCAGGTTTCTTTTTTTTTTTTTTCTTTTGATTGGCATGCCACTTATCTTTATTTGCTGTTCAGGTTCGGAATTACACGGAGTGCACCTGTGTCCAGAGTCGACAAGTGATCACGCCGCCCACGGTGGGACAGCGCAGCCAGGTCCGAGTGGTCATTGTGAAAACCTATCTCAACGAGAACGGCTATGCTGTGTCGGGGAAGTGTAAACGCACTTGCAATACCCTCATCCCCTTCCTGGTGTTCCTTTTCATAGTTACCTTCATCACGGCATGTGCCCAACCGTCAGCCATCATCGTGACACTCAGGTAAGAACCGAAACCACAAGCGCTGTAGAGAGCTGACTGCAGGGGACAGTCAGCAAATCAGAGGATAGTAAGGGTAGCAAGCAAGAGGGTGCCCCACACTTCCCCCTGGGCCTAAGGGAGAGATTTCTACATAAGAGAGAGAAGAAGGTAGCTGAAACATTGCCTCTTCTAGATTTGCCTTTTTTTCAGCTGGGCACTGTTCTTATTATTCATCAAACTTTCTCTCCAGTGCTTTTAGTGTCTGCTGTCTTTTTGCTGTGAAGTTTGACAACGTGAGTTGAAAGCCTCCTCTGTTAGCTTCAGGAAGCCAGACCCTCAAAGAGGGTAGAAATGCTTTGGCAAAGTGACTAGATCGTAAATATTGCAAAGGGTGTTATCTCCGGCCTCATGGATAGTTAATACTGCACCTCTGGGATCAGTGAGGAATTATGCTGGGCTTGCACTTCAAAATGCTGAGCTCATTAATTTTACTATTGTATAAAGTCCTGGAGCTGAATCAAGGACAGCACAGACTTGGAAATCTGAGCTTCCAGTTGGGCAGGCTGCACTTTCGTTGCTGTGTCGTATATTCTGGCTGCCCCCCCCCCCCCGATACCCCCCCCCCCCAGGAGAGGACATGTTGAGGACAAGGACTTTTGTGCTGTTGCATTCAGATCAATTTGTTTTTACTTGCATTAAAGGCTGTGGTGGGCAGAGATAGGAAAGGACACTGTGGTGAATCCTGAAGTTAGAGGGGGGCAGGGATGCAATGACAGCATGAGGAAGGGAGTCCAATCTTGCTCTTCTTTCTGGTTCTTCCAACTCCACAATACCAGACAACTATCCAGAAGCATCGTGCTGGCTGACAGTGGGTGGCCTGTATCTCACACAGATTCTGTCTTCTTTCTCATTGGACACTGAGATAGACATTTTCCGAATGGAAGAAAGCATGCCACGGAAGGCCTTCTGGTTTATTCATTCTCAGTAGATACTGATGGAGTAACTATGTATGCAGAGCTGGCAAATTCCTAGGAGACAGATAATATGAGGAAAAGACAGCACTGGAAAAATTTTCCACTCCATGCCTAGATCTTGTGTGTATGAGATAAAAAAGGATAAAGTACTTCATCGTGTAAAAATGTTGTGGCCTGTTAGTAAATTTACTTACCTGAAGCATCTCATTATTTTCCCACTATAATTCTTGAAGAAATATTAAGTAGACTATCTAAAGGCCACCTTACTTTACAGATGGTCAGAAGTATTCAAGCATGGCAATTTATGAGTTAGCTTCTAACACCAAATCTCTGAAGAGGAGTCTTTTAATCTCTGCTAATTGCAAAATCAATAGGTTCCTATCTTTCCACCACAGGGGGATAACTTAGAAAATCAATTTTAGGAGGAGAATATGGCTTGGAGAAGCTTGTTCTTCCTCTGGCCTTTCATGTACGTTTGTGCATGTGCACAAATGCCTGTAATTTCTGTTTTTACTTTGTCTTAGTTAGGATCTCTTTTGCAATGAAACACCATGACCATCAAGTTTCCGAGCAGAGGGTTTACTGGGCTTCCACTTCTGCATTATAGGCCATTGATGAAAGGAGTCAGGACAGGAACTCAAACAGGGCAGAAACCTGAAGGCAGGGGCTGATGCAAAATCTGCTTACTGGCTTGTTCCTCATAACTTGCTCAGCCTGCTTCCTTATAGAATCCAGAACCACCAGCCCAGGAGTGGTACCATCCACAATGGGATGGGCCCTCCCCATCAGTCACTAACTAAAATGTCTTACAGCCAGATCTTATGGAAGCATTTTATTAATTGAGATTGCCTCCTTTTAGATAATTCTAGCTTGTGTCAAGTGGACATAAAACTAGCCAAAACATACTTTTTCCCCCTCCAATCTTGGAGGACTTAGAATGATTTTTATTGGATGCACCTTCAATTCTGCAACATTCTGACGGAAAGAGAATGAGATGCTTAGGATAAATTTTTAGTTTTTTTTGGTTCTTAGCAGATAGATTTGGGGAGCTCATTTAAAGGAGCTTCCCCCTACTTCAGCCAAGAGCCTTGGTGCTTCCCCAAAGGAGGGGGACACAGCTTTAATCAGTGTCTGGTGGAGACATCTCTAGCCTGTGATTTACTAAGGGAAGGGAATCTTGTTTGGTGATTGCTAATAAATTCTAGTGGATGAAATACGTTGGGAAAGTATCTGATTAGTTTTTATGTTTCTGCCTAAGACAGGCTTGATTTGATAGGCTTTTTTTTTTTTTTTTTTTTTTTTTTGAGCCAGTGTTTTAAACTCTTTTTCCTTCTCCTCCCACTAGGTCCGTGGAAGATGAGGAAAGGCCCTTTGCTCTCGGAATGCAGTTTGTTTTGTTGCGAACACTTGGTATGTCCCTGAATTCCCAAGTAAGCCCTTAATTCCTCTTTGCAGCAAGTCCTTTAAAAACACAAGTTGAGTCCCTTAGTACCATTGGTAGTAGAATGTGACAGGTTTGTGGTTTAGAAGACACTTCCTCATTTTTGGATTTGAACTTTTAGCTATAAGTCCCACGGGTGAAACAAAAGAAAATGATTTTAGGTTAGTTTCATTTTGACTCGGAATACAGAATACAACGTTTTCAAAATTCCACCCAGAGTTTTATACTGTAAGAAATCGAAATCAAGAAATTTGTAATGAGTTTGTTATCCTGGCTTTTAGGTCTCTGGACTCAGCCTTTCGACAGCAATGTGAGAGAAACTGGGGTTCGTGTTACTTGTGATACTTTCAGCTTCTTCCCGTTTTAGGGTAATGCTATTGGGTCGATTGAAGAAGGCACCCGTAGAGCTTTCTGAGGCAAAGATCTTAAAAAGGCATAAAAGAAGGACCGCAAAGGTACATACACAGAGGCTTCACACACCATGAAGGAAAGCCCCGTGTCTCAGTGTGAACAGAGGATAATGGTGAAACACATCTCTCCTCGAAGGCTAGGGCCCCTGAGTGGGAAGTGCCTGGGAGGCTGCCCTGACCACTCACACTGCCCGATGGGTTTTGACCCTCCATCAATTGACCTCCTCAAGTTCATTTTCCCTTAAGTGCCATGCTGTTATTTTCTTCAGCGCTGTTTCCCTTGACAAATCAGTACCATTGTCCATGGGACCAAGGGGAAAAAACTGGTTTGTTTTTAAGTCACGTTTCAGGTTTGAAGGGTGAAATAGCTTGAAATGCCACCTTTCTCTCTTCTGAAGCGTTCACACCCCTGGAATTCTGTTTGCAGTGAGCATGCGTTGATGACCCTGAGTTCAAAGCTGAGTACTTTCAATAACCTCCAGCCCGAAAAAAGCCCCCAGCTGTGGCTTGTCTCTGGTGTCAATAAGGCTTTAAAGGCTTTTGAAGATTCTCTTGTTAAGAGAGTGCTGGGTATGAGAGAATTCAGACACAGGTGCACACAGTTAAGAATTATGCTTTGTGCTCCTTTTGTTGTTGTTTAGGGTTTTGTATTTCTTTATCTATTTTTAACTGTGTGTAGCACTCACACAGATGGGCCTGGAATTTCCTAAGGACATACTTATGGTGGTGTTGAGATTACAGGTGTTCATTACATGCCCAGCTAAAAAAAATATTTTCAAAGACAGAAGTTTGTCAACTAAAGCGATGACTGCATTGAAAAAGTCAGTTTTTTTCCCTAAAAAAAAAAAAAAATGTCCTCATTTTGGCTCTGTTTTTTTCTGAGGGAAGTTGGGTTATTTGACATGAATTTTGTGGTACAGGGGAGCCATTTGCAGACCCATCAGTAAGCCAGGAAAGAAATCTACCTGGCGCTGTGACTCAGCTCAGTTTTGTCCTTGTTTATATTGTGTGTGCGGAGGTGTAGAGAGGCTAACCATCCAAATTTGATTCTCCCCAACTTGCAAAACAAAAGACTTCTCAGTCCTTTAAGAAAGTTACCATTTAATCTTACAACTAGACTTCTTTTAAAGATTTATTTTTACCTATGTGTATTCATGTGTGTCTGTGTGTAGATGTTTGATGGGAATACAGGTGTGTGAGAGGCTGGAGGTAATGGATACCTTGGAGCAGGAATGAGTGTGGTCGTGAGCCATCTATGTGGGTCCTGGGAACCTACTTATAACTCAAGAAAACCAACCAATTCCTCTAACCACTGAGCAACCTCTCCAGTCCTAGACCTTATTTTCAATAAGTACAAATTATTTCGCAAAGTCCCATTTGCAGACTCATGAGCTGTTAGATGTCTTTTTTTTTTTTTTTTTTAATTTCATCCCTCTTACTTTCCTTCCCTCCCTTCCTTCTCTGCTTTAGCCCATCCAGGCCTCACCTCTGTGTCCTGTGCATTCGTAGACTGTTAGAAAAGGTCTTAGGAGGCAAAGCACAAAATGGAGTAGGCTCTGTATCAAGGAGTGTATGGGGTGACAAATGGCAAAGACATTAAGCAAATGCTCTTCATCAGTTGATAAAGTGGAGGCCCATACAAGACACAGTGGCAGCAGAGTGGTGTCCCGGAGATGCAGGGACTGAAAGGAATGGGTGCGAGCCAGGTAAATGAGTTAGCGGTAGGGGTACGTTTTTGGCAAAGGCTGTGTGATGGGCTCTTTATCTAGTATAACTTGTTTCCTTGTGGAACTGGACGAGATGTCTGTTACACACAGCCCATACAACAGAGCTCCTGCTGCTCCTGTCCTTCAGAGTTGGAGGCCATGATTATCGCCACACCCCAGGGACCATTGCACAGTTACCATTTGAAGAGGGTCTGGTCAGCTGCAGTGGGGTCTGAGTGTCCTATAGCAACCTAACAGGCTCCTTCAAGGACCTCTGCTCTGAAGAGGTGGGTCTCTTCACCGAGCTACAGGGAAGAATTTCAGCACGAGTCATAAGAAGTTCTGTGGCATTTATTAAGAAGATACTTAATCATACTTGAGCACGGCCTGTGCTAGTGGGGAGGCGCTCAGGACAAAGACAGTACACACTCATGTGTAATCCTGGCCCTCTTAGGAGAGCCGCAGCCATATATTCTGTTTTGGTGGCTGCTGAACTTTGTTTAGGGAGCCTCTAAGAAACATTAAATTCATTTTTTCGGTAAATGAAATCAGGTGGTGGTTTTGGAGTTCGCTGGGTAGTTGAAAACTCTTACAATACTAGATCACCATGGAGGTGAAAACATCTTTTGACCATAAACGAGATCATGATCTTGTCAGTGACATTCTCAAAAACAAAAAAATTACAGGTATATAGCTAAGAAAGGGGGAGAGGTCCTTTACATAGGTCTTTTGCATGATCTACTACTATTTTATCATTCCTTTTCTGAAACACCTCTATAAAAAGGAATGTTGTCTTTAAGCAGACAGTTTTTACAGTGTATTTTGTTACTGATCCAGAGATTGTGTGTGTGTGTGTTGCTACTGATGGTGGGGGACTTGTGTTGAGGCCAGAGGTTGACATTTGGACATCTCCCTCATTTGTTTCTCTACTTTATTATTTATTTATATATGGGTTGTTTCAGAGTCTTACCACATGGTTCTGCCTGGCCTGAAACCCCCTATGTAGACCAGGCTGGTTTTGCGCTCACAGAGCTCTTCCTGCCTTTACCTCCGGAGTGCTGGGATTAAAGACACGCACCTGCACTCCTGGCTCTACCTTAGTTTTCGAGACAAGGTCTTCCTGAGCCTGGACTAGTCTGACTGTTTTGGCTGTACTGGCAGGCCAGGGAACCCCCAGGGATCCACTGTCTCTTCCTTAGGCTCTGGGGTTGCAGGCACACGCTGTCATGACCAGCTCTTTTTCATGTGGGTTCTAGAAACCTGAGTTCTGGTCCTTGTGGACACACATCAAGAAGTGTACCCACTGAGACACCTCCCAACCATTTGTGCTCAAATTCTTGACTCTCAGCTTCAAGAGACTTAGACCAGACTCAAGGATGAGGGGCCTTTCTCTGTTCCAGTGCTTCCTTAACATTCCCTGACTTCCTGTGCTGCTCCAACCTGACTTAAGGGGGCCAAAATCTGACTTTAAGTTTGATTTTAAGGCTTTTGTGCTGGCACTTTTGGCAATAGACAGTTCTTCCAACTCTACTAAAGTCTCACTGTAAACACTTTATCAAAAGTGTCCAGTGTAAGGACTTGGTGCCCACAGATAGCAGTAGCTATTTTTTTTGTTTTGTTTTAATTAAATTTTTTTTTATATTACTTACAGTTTATTCACTTTGAATCCCAGCTGTAGCCCCCTCCCTCATTCCTTCCCAACTCCCTCATCTCCTCCCATGCCCCTCTCCAAGTCCACTGATAGGGGAGGTCCTCCTTCCCTTCCCTCTGACCCTAGCTTATCAGGTCTCATCAGGACTGGCTACATTGTCCTCCTCTGTGGCCTGGTAGGGCTGCTCCCTCATGAGGGGTAGGTGGTCAAAGAGCCAGCCACTGAGTTCATGTCAGAGACAGTCCCTGTTCCCCTTACTAGGGAATTCAGCAGTAGCTATTTTTATTAACCTAAAATGCACTAAGACATTCCAAGTGGAAGATGCTAAGTCTTTGCCAGGTAAATTGTGATTAGATGAAAATGTCTTTCAGGAGATTCAATTAAGCCAAAATCATTCTCTTGACATCTGATAAACAAGGACCTTGCTGATTGCAAATCTGTGTTCTCTTGTGGGATGTGCTATATCCTGTGTTTCTCTTTCTCTCCATGACTGCAGCTTACATTCCTACTCCGATTTACTTTGGAGCCGTGATTGACACCACCTGTATGCTCTGGCAGCAGGAATGTGGCGTGCAGGGCTCTTGCTGGGAATACAACGTGACGTCCTTTCGTTTTGTCTACTTCGGTTTGGCGGCTGGCCTCAAATTTGTTGGCTTTATTTTTATCTTCCTGGCCTGGTACTCGATCAAATACAAAGAGGATGAATTGCAGAGGCGGAGGCGTAGAGAGTTCCCGCTGAGCACTGTGAGTGAACTAGTGGGCCAGCCCAACAAAGCGGAGAAATATGCCCGGACTACATCATGCCCAGCCTTCAGCACCCAGGGGGAACTCCATGAAGAGACTGCTCTGCAAAAGGGATTTCCATGCACCACACAGACATACCCTGGGCCTTTCTCAGAAGCAATAAGTCCCTCGGCAGACCCTGGGCTGGACGTGAGCCCTGACGCTGCTGCTCTGTAGTGTCCCTGCTGAAGCCCGGAAAAGAGAGACGTGTTCTGTTGGTTGAGTTGAATATGGCGACTTGAGAAACACCTGTGCCTTCTTTCTTTCTTTTTTTTAAACCTCCACAGACACAATCCTCAAACCAACAAAACTCAGTACACACAGCCACTGTTGGCTGAGGGCTGGATACCTCAACAAGACTGAGAGCCTTTCCCCTCTTTTCTCCAGGGAGGAGCTTAGGTTGATCTGTTGTCACTTCTGCTAGGTTCATTTAATGCTCACGCGCCTGAGGTCCATGGCGAATCATGGGAAAGGCTATGATCACACATATCATTAGCATAAGTCAGGGTCTTCAGATTTGAACACCTACTATGTTTTCAGATTTGAACACCTACTGTGAGTTCTGCTGCAAAGCACAACTGAATTTGCCTCAACTATGCAATTTGATTAGAAATACGAAAATATCGTGTGTCCCTTTTGGCTTTCAGAGAGTAAAGAAGAAATGGTTTTGATAAGCAGAAGCTGAATGTTCTCTAAAGCACTGTTAGCATTTTAAGCCATAGCAGACTTATCAATCAGGTAGAAATTTTCAAATGCTTCAAGGAACTGCATACCACAATGTAATGAATGATTACAGGATTTCCTAAGTTATATTTTCTCTTAGTCTCTTTACTCCATCATAAGGTAGATCAAGAGGCTGCTTGAATCATACATCTGATAGCTTGAATATATAAACCATAGTATTCTTTCATAAGGGGCTTTAAAACTAGTGTGCTAAACAATATGGCTAGAAGCTGTAATTTGAGATGTATAATAAGGAAGGGAACGATGACTTTCTCATTTAAGGAAATGGCTGTCAAAATTCTTTCAACTCTTAAGGAGTGGCTAAAAGAAGCTATGAATTACTACTACATTCAAAGTAGTTGATAAAGAAATTGCCAAAGTAGTATTGAGTCTCAAATGGGGAATTTCATTTATATCTTCAGCATACTGGCAATTCTCTACTGATTTTTTTTTTTTTTTCTGTATAGAAAATGACTATTGTTGGTTGCTTCAGAAAATGGGCAGTTCAGTCAGGAAAGCTGTACCTGGGATATGAAAATCACTGCATAGGAAATGGGAAATTTGTCAGCTGAACACAGACTATGATCATACTTGGAGTAACAGTTGAGATTGCTAAAGCAAACTAGTCTACCATACTGAATTCTGCGTTCTCAGAGCTAGCATCATTTTGCAGTGCCCTTCGCATTCCTGTTCTTTTAGCCTTCCTGCAGTGATTCTGAGAGTTTCCTTCCTAAAGACACCTCGGGTCCATTGATAGTTGTTCAGCATTGTCATTTGGCTTCGGCACTTCCCAGTATGCTTTCTGTATCGTTCTTAAGATAGAGGCCTCTCGGCAGATTTTGTGCACTGACAGTTGGTAACTCATGATCTGGCTGCAACGGACCAAAAGGTCCAATGCTCCATGAGATTGAAGCCTCTCTGTCAAGGAACTCACATTATGTAAGGTGAAATATTTCCTCATCTAGAAGAGAGATGGTGGGCAGAACGGACCACGAGTCAGACACCTATGTTTGTGGCAGGCCACACAGGTAGAATCATGGAGCTGTTCCTGGGTATTGAATTGATTTCCTGTCTGTGTAGGAAGGCCTAGTCAAGTAGATTTTCTGGGTGCATGCAGTGTATGGAGGAGGCATTTGCTGTTGGACCGGTAGAGCTACTGCTCAGGTGACAGTAACTTTGACCCCTGGGCTTGGCTATCAAGGAAGTAGGGTCAACACTAGATGGTGCTGGGTCAGACTTTGTCCAGCATAACAACCATGAAAGGTTTTCATGAAGTCATGCAGATTAGCCCAGGCTGTACTCTAGGGACCCCGTCCCTGTTTGCCCTCCCTCCGTGGGGGTCACAGTCCTTTAGAAGCAATAGTTTCCTGTCAGAGTCCTTTAGAAGCAATAGTTTCCTATGGTGTTCATCTCAGCTGTGTATTTGTGGAGAGGTGGTGCTTTCTTAACTTTTCTGTGAGAATGAAGCTATTTTACCCTGAGACTTCCAGTCCTGTTTTGGTACTAAGATTGATGACCTCACCTGGGGTAGTTAGAAAGCGTCTGGTCACTTTCTCTACCTTGAGTTCAGTTCAGTAGTTGCTGACTGGGTACCAGTTTATGTGTTGATACCATTCACCGCTCCATGAAATCCTTTGGAACTCAAAGACATTGACCTGGGATGAGCACTACCATATGTGAATAGTAGTTCCAAGTATTCTGACTAGCAGGTGTACTGTTAATGTGCCGTTTTGGATGTAGAGTAAGTAGTGAAAGGCATGAGGGAATGAAGTGCTGGACTACATAACAGTTAAGGATTGCTCCCCAAATCTTTTAGGCTCTGGTAGCATCATCAGAATATTCCATAGCCAGTGTGTGACTACTTTTTAGGTAGCACCGTTCAATTGTATATATAGAAGGGGTCTTCTGTTTCTTGTAAAGTGGTTGTGTTCCTTATAGTCACAGCTCCTGACAGAAATTTTAATTGCTCTCCGTGCATAGGCTTTGAATTATTTGTCTTGACAAAAAGGATGAGTTGTTCTTGTATCATCTCTATAAACGAGTGTGTTGTTCGGCTTCAGCATGCAAATGTAATGCCCAGCTCATTGACCTAGAATCTCCCAGTTGCTGAGGGAGGAGGGTGTTGGAGAACATTCTTCTGGTTTTCTTCTTTACTATGATGTTCTTGTTCCTTGGAGGTGGAGTTAAGGTCTGAAAACACTCAAAAGTCATTTGGAACACAATGTGGGATGAGGAGAAAGGAGACAGTTTAGCGTTTGGTGTGGTGACTTTTTGCAGAATGGTTTGCCAACATTCGACACCCATTGCATTTCTCCGTTTAAGGGCGTGTAAACACTTTTTTTTTCCTTCAGTGGTGCTGGTTTGAGCTCAGAACCTTGCATATGGACCTTAAGCACATGCTCTCCCTAAGCAGCACTCTAGCCTTCTCTCTGGAACAGATTTTTGTTTGTTTTCTAAACAGATTTGAACCTGAGGCTCAGAAAGTTAAAGCCAGTTGTCTAGGTTGGTGCAGAGCAGTAGCGACAGGGCTGAGATAGGTCCCTCTCGCCAAGTCGTTCTTAATACAGTTCACAGTCAGCAAAGGCAAAATGTCCGCTGTAAAATAGGTTAGCACACATCACTTTTTGATGCATTATTGTTTTTGAAGAATAGAGGCATTCTTCAAAATAGAGACATTTCCTTGTGTAAATAGAAAACAGTGTAATCTGTACCTGTGGGAGCCATCCACACTTCATGTCCAACTAGAATTTTTTTTCAAAGGAAATTTTATTTATATAGCCAAGTATAATATTAAAATCATTTATTATATCTTACCTCAAATGTTTATTTATGGATTGAGTTTAATTCAGAGTACATCCAGTTTTGATATTACTTAGGATCTTAGCAGAATTTCCTGAAGTGAAATTTTATGGGGGGGGAGATTAGTTCTGATTGGTTGTATCTGAGCTTTGGGAGCTTCAGGTGTGTTATTTATTTATTTTTCTCCCATCAGTAGATTAGTCTTTCTGCTCACTTGTAGACAACTGAGTTTTCAGATTCTTAATGAAGGCTTAAAAAGAACATAGGAAATATACGCCAAGCCTCAAACCCCATCTGCCACCTCAAGTCTTGCACTCAGGGAAGCCAGTACCCACAGGAGTTGCTAGAACAGAGCTGGGCTCCTGAGGGTCTCAGAAATCCTACATTTCACCAACCATCCAAAATTTTTGTTCGGTCCACAATTCTGGCTCACAGTCTTTAGTGAACTTACACCCAGAAAGTGTCTTTTGATTGTTTGTTTGTTTTGCTTTGCTTTGCTTTGTTTTCTGAGGCTGCTTTGCAGAACCCTGTGTGCACCAAGGGACAGCAGGAGAATATGGAGGGACCCAAAACTCCTTTGAGAACGCTCTCATTAGCTCTGTAGCAAGGCACGCACTTGCCTAAGGTGCTAGCTGATAATACCTTGTGACTCTGTGTGTGTGTGTGCATGTGTGTGTGTGTGTGTGTGTGTGTGTGTGTCCTAGAGGTACAGAATGCGAAGATAATTGCTGCTGCATAGGTACATGCAGAGTAGCAGAGAGAAATCCTAATACTGCAACCCCCAAAATATTCTGGAAGCCAGACTCGATAATTCTGTTCTCCAGACTTGTGAGTAAGTCTTTCTATGTCTGTGTTCTCTCTTCCACAGCAAGGAAGGGTGTGGCTGGCAGGTGAGGCTAGTGGCCTGGTGCACTTTATCATTTCGGTCTGCTTTCATCTCATCTTTTAGTAGTCCTTAGTCTACTGTACGGTTGAAAGCAGAGAAGATGTTGTCTGTCCCAGACTTCCTGTTGCATTGCAACCAAATTTGTGTCTGTCTGAAGAGGTTTGATTGAAGCAATTCATCTTTACTCAGCCTTAAGGAGGGTCAGATGTGACCAGAAGCTCACCTTACCACTGTTGGCTTTTTGGCAACATTAAAAATAAAATGCCTCGGTGCTAAAGTATTTATAGACACATGTCCCTCTCTGAATTCAGTGTTTCAATGACAAGGGGCTGCGTGTGCTTTGTGTTTGAAAACCTAGGGATTTTCCCAGAGAACAAGCCCCTTGACTCTCATTTTCATAATCCAGAAACTCTACACTGTAAAAATGAGAAGTGTCCGGGAGAATACTTTTCTGTGGAAAAGTCAGTGCTTTTGATATTTAGTTTAGCAACAATAAACAGATGCTAAAAATGGTTTCTAGAGAGATAGAAATATGTTCAGATAATCTTATATCTTCTCCAGAAGGCTTCAAGCCCTGCCGAGCTGCTTTTAAGTGCCAGGATCTGTTGCTGTCATCTTTTACTGGTACTTTACTGTACATGTCGAAAGTGAGGAAGCAAATGCTGAAAAGTAAAGAAATGTAAAGTAAAGTAAAGTAAGGGTAACACTTGACAGTGGGCTTTTTTTTTTTTTTTTTTTCTTAAAATATATACCTCTATCCCAAACCCAAATGTTAATCTAGGAGCATGAAGCCCAAGGTTAGCCTTTAACTTTGTAGTGTAAAGAAATGTGAAAATGTGTCAAACTGGCGTTAGGATAAGTGTGTGTGTGTGTGTGTATGTGTGTGTGTGTATGTGTGTCTGAGTCTGTACACCTATGTGTCTGCGTGTTTCTTTATAGAGGCATGTTTGTGATGAAAGGCTGATTTGAGTTATTATCTAGAGTTTGATTTTGTGGGGTTTTTTTTTAGGACAAATATTTATTTGGAGATAATGATAATGTAATGTAAGGGGTGTGTGACTTATTTCTTTATGTTTAATGAACCTGATTGTCAAAGGACTAATAAACCTGGGTTTACAACATCATGAATACTTGATCACCGAAAATTAAGGAAAAAAGTTGAAAAAATAATAAAGTGTGTTGAACTGAAATTAAGTTGTCTTTAGGTTTCTTGCTTACTGGAGTGAAGGAATGGCATCAGAATGATGCACAAATCCGCTCCTTGCCTGCGTGCTGGCTGTATCCAGAGGCAGAATGTTCTGTGTAGAAACCGTTATGACCACAGTTTAAAGAGCTCACTGTAGCACATATTTCATGAACTTCCTGAGAGAATGCTTGTAGGTAGTTTGACATGTGTTCAAATTCGAAAGACTTTTAGACCGGGGAACCCTGTCCTCAGTGTGGCTTGATAAACGACGCTTACTCACTCCTCTCCGAGGCTTCACAGCATGCAGATCTAATTCTCATTCACCCTGCGAGTAAGTGTAGCATGGCTGTGCTGTGCAGAGTCCCCCGGGGATGGAGAGACAGAAGGCCCCAGCTACCCCATGAGGAACTTTTATTGCTGCTCACAGATGCTGGGTTAAGGCGAGAAGAGTCGGAAGGATGGCTCACCCGGAAGTAACACCGTCAATGGACTGTGTCACTGGCCTAGTTAGTCCCATGGGTTTGGCTAGCTTCTTGGGCTCCAGAGGAGCAGGTGGGAGCAGAGGGGAGCATCTTGGGCCTATTGTTACCACAGAGTTGGCTGTGCTGGGCGGTTCCCAAAGGCCCTTCTACAGAATGTTAGAGGCTGTTCCTCATGCCCATTAAACATCCTCTCCTCATCCTTCCCTGCCTCACGCCCCTCCCAGCCTCTCCACATCCCCCATGCGGAGGCTTTTCCCAGATCAAAACGTTCAGCTTCCACCTAGGAGAGGGAGTGTGAGCTGGTTACCTCTCGGTGTCTGACACACGATTACACTTGACATCCTGTCCTCCGGGTCCAGCTGGATACGGGGTTTTCCTGCCTCTCCCGACAAACAAGAGTTTTCCAAGCGCGCTGGCATCCGAAACCTCTGGATGAAGAGGCAGGAGGAGGTGAAAGGGAGGTGGAAATAGCAGCATGAGTCATGGGCTGAAGACCAGGGTGGATATATTTAGTCTGCTTTGAGCACTCTTTCTGGAAAGAAGACGGTTGTTCCATTTCCCATCTCCCATGCCCCCACACACCTCATGGCACAGGGAAAAGGTCAGAACGGTCCTAAATGCGTGTGTGATTGGTATACTCGTGAGTGTATGTGTGACTGGGAGATCCATCCTTCCTTCCTGCCATTGCACATTCACTGGGAAAACCATTCACGGCACAAAAGTGGATGCCTCACTCTTAAGCTAGTAAATGTGAACCAGAATAAAAAAGATTGGCTTCCACTGGGTTTCCTAAGCCCTCCTACCAGAGACCTTCCCAGACTCTCAGGGTCAGAATCTGTACCTTCCCTCCCTCCCCTCCCCGACCTGCAGGCCCAACAAAGCTGGTTCAAGGATTGGGTAGAACCGGTTTGATGCTGGAAGATTTTTAGCAGCTGTTCAAAATGGCCATGGTGTGTAGAGTAAAGAAACAGGATTTCTCCCTGACTGCTTACATTTCCTGTAACCCAAATACACACACACACACACACACACACACACACACACACACACACACACACACACACACACGGAGGGGGGTGCTTTAAGAAATGAGCACTGTCCCCAGAGGTGGTGCAGATGCGGCTGCTGTGTCACATGTGTGGCAGTGGGTAACAGAGAGGAGAGAGGCTACGCCTATGCTCCGTGTTCTGACCTCTGAACATCTCTTTAGTAGCCTAACACTCCGTGAAAAAAGTGAGCCTAAGAGAACCCCAGTCCAGCCCAGTGCAGTTCCGGACTGGCTGCCAGGGGACCAAAACATATGTTCTTGTCAAATACAGGAGAGCAAGCACAGTTACTTTAGAAAAAACTTTGCCCTGGATGGAAGATGCTTTTAGCTGTGCTCAAGCGCCATCTAGTGTTCATTGTGGAAAGCAGCTGCTCCACTTCCCTGCTGACTTCAGAGAATGCTGGCCCCGACCTGGGAAGTCTAGTTTTCTTCTGCTGCTAGAAAACTCTACTAGAATCAAACTGGTTCCGCTCCCTCTCTGAACCGGCTTTGTCGGGTTTGTGGAGTGAAGAGAGGAGGGAGGGTACAGATTCTGAACCTGGAAGTTCCCTGGTTTGAGGACTAGGAAAGCTGGTAAAAAGCAGTATTTTTGGTCACAGTTCATGTGTCGGCTTGACAGCCCTTAGCTTGTTGCCTCTGTGTGATGTCTCTAACAGCAAGGGTCTGGTTTTTAAAGGTCCGTCTCTCCATTTGCTTTGTACAGCTTCATATGTTTCTTGAAGGCCCAAGATACTGTGCTGGCAAAGTCCTCAGCAGCACAGGGAAGAGAAAGACTAGCTCCCTAGAACAATGGGCGAGGTCACAGTAGGGTGCTTCTTCAGTGTGGGATGGGCTGGGAATTGGGAGAAGCCATGGTTAGTCCTTCGAGGACAACTGTAGCTCCTAACAGCGGCTTTGTGGGTCAAAGGGCCACGAAAACTCAGGGTGGAGCACATGATATTTTGTTTGGGGATCTTGCTTGCCATCCAAGGATGTGTTGTCTGGTAAAATAGACTCTGGAAATCCCCAAAAAAATTCAACTCCATTGAGAACTTGAACAGTGGCCAAACCCCCAGCCCTGCCCACTACACTACCCCTTCTAGAGAAGACCAAGATGGCCTCAGGTATAGTTTGAAAATGGTGGTGTGTTGACAGCTCTCAGGAATAGCAGGAGCTGGGATGGGTCTTTGGAGGTCACAGATGCTCAGGGGGGAAAGAAAGCACACATGCTGAGGAGTTGCCATTGTTAATTAAAAGCCTTTGTTTCTGTAAATAGTTGTCTGAGAGAGGTTTGTGGGGGCTTCCTAACCTCACAAAAGTTAGAGGGTTCAAAATGATTTTACGCTGGTTCTTTTGTTCATTTCCTCAGTCTCACCATGAAGTTGAGGAAGACCTTGGGATTCTACTCCTCCTGCCTCCACCTCCAAGTGGAGGTGGTACATTTTGGGTACCCACTGCCACGGCGTGTGTGCAGCCCTGGAGATTCGCCCCAGAGTTTGTGCATGCTAGCCACACGTTCTGTCATCCGAGCTACCACCTCAGAATGGTTTAGGTCTCTTTGAATGTCACGTTCACTTTTTTTTTTCCTTACCAAATAAGGCTTTATCAAATGGAATCCTACTATGTATTTTTCCCCTTCTCTGACCATGTGTGTGTGCAGTAAATGCTTCTATGACCCACATGTGTCTGCTTAAATGGAAGAAGCATAGAAGAGCTGGTTCACCTCATCTCTGAAGTCCATGGCAAGCAGGGAATGGGCCGTGTTGATCAACAAGATACCCAGGGCAGGCAACCTCTAAGGCTTTGATCTCTTGAAACAGGCTTGAAACATAGCTCTGGAGACACACAGCCTTTTTGCATGATGTAGACTGGATGACTATTTAGCAAATTGTACCCAGAGTTTTCTCGGGATGCCAGCATGTGGCCTAAGCACATTTTACAGAAAAGGAACAAGAAGAAAGGCACACGCTGAAGGTTCTCTGTCATATGTAGAAATGTAAAAAAAAATTGATGGGAAAATAGAATAATGATTATTGAAGACTGGGAAGGTCGCTGAGATGAAGGTGAAGGAGAGATCTGGCAGAACATGAGCTAATGGAACTATCACACAGACCAGACTCCTTTTCGTATATACAACTTGCCTCAGTTTTCAAAAAAGGAAGTGTGGAGCAAAGATGCACTTCTGAACACTATGCCCTTTGACCTTGCTTCCTCTTCATGATGCTATGTATGGACTCCTTAAGGACCAATGGGTAAGTCTTTGAATCTTCACTATTTCCTCCTTTCTCTCTTCTAACCTCTAATCGAGACATTTCATAGATTCTTAATTTCTTACCTGAAGGCCTTTTTAAGAGATTTTCCACACAATGGTTTTAGTGGACAGTTAGGTTTGCCCTGGAGCTCACGGTTCCCTCTAAACTCTTAAGGTGCTGCTCATGGCTGTGTTTTCTTGCTTTTCTTTAGAAAACTACATGTGTGCCGCCGAGGACCATAAAGGGGTTTACAAAGCTCCACAGAGGACTATCAGTGTGGGGCCCCTTGCCCAAAAGTTAATCCGTATTTCAATATAGTGAAGACGAAGTCTTGGGGCCTTCGCAGGTTCTCAGGTGTATACAGAAATGCTGTGCCTCATCCTCCTGGATTGCAAGGAGGCACACTCAGAAAGGCACTAGCCCACAAACGATCTCTAAGACGTGGATTGTGGGGGCAGTGTGACACGCGTGGCTAACGCTCGCTCATGTGAGGTGAGAACTGGACTCAAGCTAACTTGTGACGAATGTGTGGACCGCAAAAGCTGGCTTCAGTTCATTTCTCTGAAACAAGGAAAAAGTTTCAACACCTTTTATTTCAAGAAATGTTGCTTCTAGACTTTCCTGAAGTCAGAATTGTTCTATAAAAGTATCACAGAGTATTACATAGGATTAAAAAAAAAAAACATAGTATGCTTCCTAATACCTTGAAATCTCTTTACAAAGTACATCATTCTAGACCATAAATATGTTTATTCTGTCATTCAGAAGATGGCACCCACATCTGATAAAGCGCTAGTTAGCTTTAACATATGTACAGACTCTATGATAAAGACTTAAAATTACTGAGGATTCAACTATACCACATTAAATTTTCTTGAAAAGTGTTCACTTTAAACACTTAAAGAAAAATATAACTTATCTACATGTTTGAATTCCCTAAAATTAAAAAGAAAGCCACTGTTGAGCTAAACAACAATATCAACAAGATCTTGCGAAACTGAAGAGGACACTGAAAGTTCTCAATGAGGTAATCCTTCAACTGGTCTCTAAAAGTCCAATTGAAATAGGGTTATATCAAGGATACAGATTTTCAAAAGCAGTTTTGAACGATGTCTTTTAGAAAAATCAGAGCTTGGTGACAGTTTTAAAAATAATCAAATAATACAACGTTTATGAAGTTAATCTCCATTCTGGTACATTTAAGGTTTACAGCATTTGTGATTTTAGTTTATTAAAATTGTCTTATAGAAAGTCAAAACTACACATGCTTTCTCAACGCTTAAGCTTATTAACCAAAAGAAGAAAAAAAAAATGATGAAGGTTAAAATAAAATAGGCTTTGTCCTTTTCCTTCTTTCAAGAAGGTAATCAAATTTTAGCAGTGTTAGCATTTAGTAAGCACAAAGAAAGCAGGTAATTTTTGTTTTGTTTATTGCTTTTCACTCATTATTTATTTTTTTTTTACCACCAACATTGTGAGCCATGCCTTTCTGCTAATCGATTTTAGCACGTCGAGGTAAAATACATGCAGTGTTTTCTGGAAAAGCATACATTAAACAATATGTGATCCATACTGTGTGTCATCAATGGAGAGCTATTCTTTTGTCCCGCCTAGGATAAACAGTGTGATTCTGATAAGCCTTTTTTTTTTCTTTTAATAATAACACTATCAACCAAGCAGACACGTATTCCAAACTCAAAGTGCAAAATCATTGATGATGATACTGAAAAATTCCAGTGGTTAGAAATGAATCCCAACTTCGTTACGCAGGCAGGGAGATGTGTTGACAGAGCCACCGAGGGCGTCAAGCTTTTAAAACTTACAAAGGCACGATTCTAGCCATTTTGACTGGATAGACTTTAGTTACGCATGTTTCTACAATATTCAGAAGATAATACTGCTTTAGTACCAAAAAAAAAAAACAAAAAAAAAAACAAAAACAAAGCAACAGAACAGAAATGCCCCCCCCCATCTTCTTGGTGAAATAGTGAATTACAATGAGTCCGTCAGTGCGGGAGCAGTACCTGTGCTTGTGCACAGTGATTTCTACTGTGCCAAGGTACCCAGGGATGCTCAGAATGCTGGGAACCTACGATTGCCACCACTAGTTTGCTAATCAAAACATAGGAAGAAATATCATGCTTAAGCAACTTTGATCTAAGCAGAGGTGAGCGGAGAGGAGGCACTGCCCTCTGGATTTGGTGCCCACTCCTTTGGGCCATTCTTCTCCATTTTCTGTGTGTGGCTGGAATGAAGAGGCTGCTCCTCACTGCGCACATCGGACACCTGATGAGCGGAAGTCCTGTCAGAATGAACGAGAGGATGCAACTGATCTTCGAAAGCATCCTCTTCCGGCTCCACATCCTGGGGATATTTTCGTTGCTGCTGGCTGGTAGGCTGGAGCACCAGCTCTGTCATCCCATTACCACTGATGTTGTCTTCAAGGTGATGGGTCTCCTCCCATCCTGTCTGTTCTTCAGTTTCACTCTTTCTCCAGTGTTCAGAATTCAAATGATTCACTTCTGGAATGTCGTTATTCCATTCAAGTTTTCTCTCTGGACTTAGTGTTGGTCTGGTCAAATGCAGGGTTTGGAGGCTGGCTGGCAAGGTCAAAGGAGGTGTTTCTCCAACCACATGACTCGGGTCTTCGCCTGACTCTGCAGAGGCCATCTCTGCTGGCACCAAGAGCTCAGCAGAGGTGACTGGGAAGCTACCTCTCTGAGCAGCTGGAGTCCCGTTTGCTTTGTTTCGCTCAGAGTGGCTGCTCAGCGGCGCAAACACTCTATGCACAGCTGTCAGGTCATTAGCCCACTCCTCCAGACTCAGTCTAGGGTTATGTCTGTCCTCATCCATGCGGTCGCTTACACCGGACAACTCCTCCAGGCCTTGCCAGTCGGTGTCTGGAGCAACACTGGACCGACTAACCTTCCCATCCATCCCATA